CACATTTTTTTGTTAAACGTTTAAACTAACATTGTGATATGCTTGAAGTGTTTTATATCTATAGATTTTATTTTAGGCAAGTCGTGTTGATTTGAGAAGGCTAAATTGATCAAACCTGATGAACTCATTGTCTGCCGCTGGCCGCTTGGTCGTTACTTTAAAAAACAAAAAATGTTCCAAACATATTTCTTAATTAACTTAATAATGAAAAGAAAAGAAATATAACCACTTTGCCATTAAAAACAAAACTGAACTATTTTAATGGCTGCAACAGCAGCTGTGCAATAGGGAAGAGAGAGAGAGAAAACCGAGACGGGCTCCAGTCGGACTCGGGCCGAGAATTCTGATAAATTGTCAGATAATTTATATTTAGCTTCTTTCAATTTCTTATTAAGCGTCAAAAGAAAAAACACATTCATCTGGAAGAAGGGGGCAAACAGTATATATATATATATATATATATAATATGCAATGAAATCTAATGCGAAATGCAATTTAAATATGCAATAAAATTGTTTGCTGTAATATTATAAAATGTTTCATATGCAAATATTAAATATAATATTTAATTTATTTATATACTTATAATCGATGACTAAGTCAGTAGTTGAAGTCAGTTGTAGAAAATTTTTTATTTAAATATGCAATAAAATTTAATGCAAAATGCAATTTAAATATGCAATAAAATTGTTATATTATAAAATATGCATTGCATATGCAAATATGAAATATATGCAAATATGCAAATAATTGTATACGTATAGTCAATGACTACTATAAGTCAGTAGTTTAAGTCAGTTGTAGAACATTTTTTATTTAAATATGCAATAAAATGTTTATGATATACTGAAATTGTGCAAGTATTAAATATTATATGTAAATATGTAAAAAATATTGATTTGAATACTTAAAATTAATGACTATAAGTCAGTTGTAGAAATATTTTATATAAATATGCAATGAAATTTAATGCAATATGCAGTTTAAATATGCAGTAAAGTTGTTTGTTATAATATTAAAACATATTGCATATGCAAATATTATATGTACATTTGCCAAAAATATGTTGTTTTGTATATTCATAATTAATGAATATAAGTCAGTAGTTTAAGTCAGTTGTAGAACATTTTTTATTTTTACTTTTTTTTTATTTAATGCAAAATGCAATTTAAATATTCAATAAAATTAAGTTATGCTATAATATAAAATACTGCATATGCAAACTGTTAATGTTTGTTATTATATTACATTATAAAATATTGCATGTTGTGCTGTATACAGTGACTACAAGTCAGTAGTTAAAGTCAGTTTAGGAACATTCAGAAATTTAGGCAAAATAAAGACCAATCAGAAAGCTAATGCTTCTGTTTTTTGTGATCCAGACACTCAGTATGATGTGGGCAGCTGTAGTGTGAACGGCTCCGATCCTCTGAAGCCCAAATGTCCCGTGCTGAACGAAGATAACATTCCGGCGTTCCCAGAATGGCTGACCATCATCATGCTGTGTGTCTATCTGCTCTTCGCCAACATCCTGCTGCTCAACCTCCTCATCGCCATCTTCAAGTGAGTACACAGACAGAGACGAGTGACCAGAAACACTTACCTGCTTCATTTGCACAGCGGCTCTGTTTCCAAAGCCTACTGAGCTGACTTGATGTCTACTGTACATGCACACTGTACGCAGCAGCTCTGTGCATCATACAAATAGCAGTCTTTATGAAAGACTTAACTCATATTTGATTCCAGTAGACATGGTACTGTAAAAAGCATGAAAATGCACAACACAAACAAATGTTTTAGGACTGTACAAAACAAAAAAAATGTCATCTCAATATTTTTGTGTTTGCTCTCAAATAAATAAAAAATACATCTTTTTTTATCAGACACAGTAAAATTGATAAAATAGTTAATTAGATTGAAATATTTAACAATGTTTATGTATTTATTTATGCAGGCAAATATCTGGTTATTTGCTATTTTTATATTTTTTCAAATATTATTTTCTTTAATATAATTTAAGCATATTTTGATATTTTTTATTATAATATTTTTTAAAAATTCATAATTATACTGCTTTATTTTTTTATTTTTTACCTTAAAATGCCTGATTATGTATCTTGTGTCATCTGCGACGTTCAAAACTGTAAAAGATGCATGATAAAATATGGCCGTGAATTTCAGGGCTTTAAACTCTCTCTCATTGTGCCTCACAGCTACACGTTCCAGGAGATCCAAGACAACACAGACACCATCTGGAAGTTCCAGCGCTACGAGCTGATTAAGGAGTACCACAGTCGACCCGCTCTTCCTCCACCCTTCATCCTCCTCAGTCACCTCATCCTCTTCATCAGAGGAGTGCTGCTGCGCTACCCTCCACAGAAACACAAACACTTCAGTGAGCCAAAACGCCTTCTCCAGAAAACACACACATCGTGATAGATTATTGATGTTCATTTCTCAAGATAAAACTATCAGCATGAAGTCTAGTCCAGTTTATTCTGGCCAAGAAACGCCAACTTAGACAGGAAGAGTCTGACTTTCTGATCAACATATAAAGCAACAGAAATGATTCATTTTGTTTATTTAGCTGCTGCATGTTTACATTTTCTGAAATAGTTGACACTATTATATATGTATATATATATAACAAACTAAAATAAATGTTCTAAAAATAAAGTTTAAGTTCTAAAATTACTTAAGATGAAAAAAATAAAGTAAAAAAATAAAAAAGAATAAAAATTATTAAAATGTATAATAATAATAATTAAAATGGAAAATGTATAGTAATAATAATAATATAAAACATATTTAATAAAAAATAAGTAAAAACTGAGAATATGCTATAACAGTATATAAATAATACTAAAATAACATTGGTGTGTTAATATTAATTTTAACAACTAATCCAATACAATCAGAGTCAGAACTGCCCTTTTTTAATTATATTTGTATTTATTATTATTTATTTATTCATATTAACTGCCTGTTTTATTGTGTGACATTTACATTTATGCTTTTGGCAGATGCTTTTATCCACAGTGACATTTAATGTTTACATTTTTATCAGTTCATGCATTTCCTGGGAATCGAACCCAAAGAACTTGCTGAAAATGCTCTATCATTTTTAATGTCTTGAAAAACTGTGTTGAGTGTCTCAGTCCCTGGTATAAGCGCATGATTCTTCACAGGACAGGAGCTGGAGCAGACTGAGGAAGAGGAGCTGTTGTCATGGGAGGCCTACATGAAGGACAACTATCTGGCATCGACGCGGCAGGACGAGAGCCAGAGCGTGGAGCATCGTATCCAGGACACCGCAGAGAAGTAACCAAGAGATGAGCAACACCGAAATATAACATCACAATGTTTGAGTACAGACTATGATCTGAATTCAGTAGGAAACGTTTAAATCTACTCTAGAATATGGGGAAAATATAGGGGGAGGAGCTTAAATAATAGTCATGAGATTACAAGTCTTACACTCATGAATATTAATTACATGACATGATGTTCCTACTTGATTTGCTGAAGTATGAAGTACACGAATCCGGCCTAGATTCTGCACATTTTTGGCTTGTTCTCACTGTAAAAAAATTCTATCTACTTCAACTTAAAAACTTAAGTTCAGTTACTGCCTTAAATGAATGGAAAAACATGTTACCGTGACTTATGGATCACATCATTGTTTACAGTGAAATCGTTTTCCATGGCCGTTTACAATGGTTTTCTTCACACTGTGGCCAAACAAAATGAATCTCTTAAAATATAATGTTAATCTCCCCCAAAAAAAAGTGCAAAGAAATTCAAAATCTATGCCTAGACCTTTTTGCTGAGAATTTTTTTTTAACTGCTTTATTTTTCAGATGTAATACAGAACAATATAAATGAAAGCTAAATAGAAATATTTACAAAAATATATAAATAAATGAAATAAAAATGACAAAAGCCCATAAAATTACTAAAACTTAAAAAAGAGAGAGAATTTATTAAAATTA